GGCCAAGCCGGGCGCCGACCACACACCCTCAACCCCCCCGCCCCAAAAAACACCCCGCACCCAAACCCCCATCCTCAAACACACGCACCCCCCCCACCATCTTTGCGTTGGCCAGCAGCTCGTCGTGCTCTGCGTCGTCCATCTTGAAGGCCGGGTTCAGGTACAGCTGGTGCAGCGCGGACCGCTCCTCGGGGGTCAGCTCCTGGGGGTGGGGGCCGCGCCGGTTACGAGGCGGTTGTGGCAGTTGATTGGTGGCGGTTGTGGATGTTGTTGCGGCGGTGGTGACGTCGGGGTCTGTTGGAGCGGCGATGGCGCCGCGAGTTGGGACGAGGACGCGGCGGGCGCACGATGAGGGCGCGTTCCGTTGATTATGGATAGCAGCGTGACGTCACGTGACGTCACCAGGGTGACGGGCCATGTGCTTTAGTCATAGTTTGCTACGAAGGAGCCGCAACACCTCCAACCCCCCCCTTCCCCTGTCTCTCACACACACAACACACGCACGCGCGCACGAGATGCAGCACACACACTCCAGGCATCCTGCACACCTTGGCGTCCCGCGCGTCCAGCATGGACGCCTCCCTGATGCTTGTCAGGGTCCACGGCCGCTTGAACAGCTGGATGGAGGGAGAGAACAGGTTTGATGGTCGGGGTCGAAACATCCGAATCAGCAACGTGGAGGGGGCATAGGAAATAGGCGATGATGGCAGGGGGATGTGGGGAGAGGAGGGAGCGCGGCCTGTCGGTTGTGGGGCGGCGTCCGTGCCGCGGCTCCGAGGCGCGGGGCCGTCCCGGCGCCGTGCACCCGCGCGCACGGGACGGCCTCGCGATCCTGCGCCATGGTACACAACATGCACGCGAAAGCACGCAGCCACATATGTGCCCAAACTTTGCTCCTGTAGGCCCTTTGTCACACACGCACAAGCGCACGCACGCACACACGCACACACACAAACACCCAATCCCATCCCCCCACCTTTGCCAGCGCCCAATGGAACACGACTGTGGCCACGACCAGCGGCAGGATGAGGGCCGCGTAGGGGAAGCGCTTCACGCCCAGCACTGTGGCCACAATGGCCTGCAGGAAGTAGATGCCCACCATGATCTGGTGGAAGACCTGGGGATGAGGTGATGCCCCGGACAGATCACACGGGGGTCGGCGCGTTTGGATGGGCGGTCGTCAGTCAGGGGTGGTGTGAACGCACTTTCAAGCACGGCGGGGAGCAGAGGGGCAAGGGGCAAAGGCGCTTCGATTGGCAGTTTGCCCCTATATACATTTGGTTGTGGTGGGATGGTTGCGGGGTGGCAGTTGAAACAGATATCAATCACTTCTTTCCTCACTGCCTGGGGTGTCCTGTTAAACTGCCAGTATTGCAACACCAAAGCGGCCGAACCCCTCGCCCCCAGTCCCAACCGTGATCCACATGCATGCCTTCCCCTCTACACGCGCGCCGCGGCACCAAAGCAGCCCCCTCCCCGCGCACCGTGATCCACATGCGCCCCTCCGCCTCGTATGCGTGCTGCAGCACATAGATGAGCTGGTACTTCTGACTCAGCAGGGTGAGTGCGAAGTACAGCAGGCAGAACGGCGTCACCAGGGGGGTGAGGCAGCAGTACGCCAGGCCCAGGAGGATGACTAAGGAGTGGTCGGCCACGTAGGTGCCAAAGGTGTGGTCCTGCTTGGCCCACAGGCGGTATCTGGTGACAGAGGGTTGTCGGTTGGTGGTGGTTGTTGGTTGTTAGTGGTTGTTGATTTTTGGTGGTTAAAGGTTGGGGGTTGCGGGTTGGTGGCTGGTGTTGTTAAGGTTGCCAGTTTGAGGCGGGTGTGGCTTGTTGGTGAATGAGTTTCAGGTGTATGTGTGTGTCTGTGTGTAGGGAGGGGTGATCAGCAGAGCGGCGCGCGGTTTCCGTGCGTGGCAGTCAGGCGGGTCGCATGCTCGGCCACACAATCTGACGGGGGCCGTCCGCATCTGCTGCATCAGCCGCCCCCCGGGCGTGTCCATTCCCGCTCTGAACCCCGCAGGGCAGGGTTTTTCCTCCTCCTGCCCTCTGTGCAGCATCGCCCCTCTCACTTGGCCTTCTCGGTGCCAGCCAGCTTGTCTTTGATGAAGTATATCACCAGGGGCACCAGCCGCAGGATGCCAAAGCCGTTGGACAGGGCCTGTGTGTTTGTGTGCGTGTGTGCGTGCGTGTGTGTGTGTGTTTGTGTGTGTGCATGCGTGTGTATGCGCGTTTGCAAAATTTATACATCGCATGCATGTGTGTACATATGTGTGCGCCTGCTTGCGCGTTTCCGAAGAACCCCAAG